GGTTACCAAAAGTTGTATGAAGAAATGTATATTCATTTCCTTGGCAGCTTTTGGGAAATGTGTTACCAGACCTCTGGTAGACTAGGTAACCAACTACTCCCACTTCAAAGAGGGACAGAGTGAGCACTCTAGGCTCGCTCAAGTAAGTTGTCTTGCTTGGCAAAAATCACTGACTTCCATGACTGGAGTATTTTGAAGTTTATGCAAATGGACTGTGAACCCCTGGTTATGTTGGATGCATCTCCTGACCCACCTCACCTATAAAGGCTTCCATTGGCCTAAGGAAAAAAGTGACTCATCCTCCCTACCCTCCAAATCTTGATCTCCAGGCTTCCAGTTTTTCCAGTTAGAAGTACAGAGAGGGAACAAAATAGGGTGGAATGCTTGTATTGAGCTTCTTGTTCCCTGTGCTTCTAGAACACCTAGCTGAGTGCAAGTCTGATTTTAAAAGTTAGAAGAGGTTGCAGAGACAGGATGGAAGCTCAGTTAACTTCTTCCTTGGTCCTGTTTTCGGTTCATTAGGATCGTAGATTTTGCGCAAGGAAGGCTCCTAACAAGTCACTAAGCCCAACTCCTCATATTACAGATGAAAAACCTAAAGCTACTGATGTGAGTAGCCCTAGACCACACAGGGAGTAAATGACAGGCCTGGGATTTGAACTCAGGTCTTCTGACCACAAAGTCGGTGCTCCAATATACTATGGTGCCTCCCAAAGTATATCTTTAAGTCAAGGAATTGGGGAAAATTTCCCTCCCTTCCCAGGCCCTCTGGCCCCCTTCCACATCACACTCCCTTTTCATTCCAGACCACTCTTCCTTACCAGAAGCTGCAGAAGGATGTAAGCTTGGAAACCTGGACTCCAGTCATGCTAAAAGGAAGGAAACATGGTTAGCTAACATGAACAGCACAGACTGGGTGTCACTCACTGTTGCCAGCCAGGCCTGTTGAAGGATATATGTTTGGAAACTTTTGCCAGAAAGGAACCCAGTGAAAATGAGCTATTAAACTTGGATATCCTGAAGAAACAATATTTACAGAGGGAACTCCTTAAGGGAACATTCTCTGGTGGAATCACCCTGGTGGGGGAGCTCATGTCTGGGCACTGAATCATGTGCTTAGCAGGCCCCAAATCTCTCTTTTCCCTTTCCCTGAGATGTTCACGTTGTTCTTAAAGGTACTGGAAATTACTTAGTCGACTTCTGTCAACTCTGGGACAACCGGGAAATAAGTCATTGTCCCTGGGATGGCAGAAGCAGCTCTTTTTCTAAAGTAGCTCGGAACTGTGTAAGATAATAAACTCTAGGCCCCCTATGAAATCTTTCCACGAGGATCTGTTCCCCTGTTGAATTCCCATTGGTCTGAAAATGCACCCTAATAACCTAAAACAATTCTGTACTAGATTGTAAACTCCTTGTGGGCAGGGATTAGCTTTTGCCTTTCTTTGTGTCCCTATTGCTTGGCACATAATAGGTACTTAAAAAAACTTGTTAATTGGATTATCTTATTTAGTTTGCAGGTAACTTTCTATGTGTTTATGGGGTTGATCCCAGGAATGGAACAATCCAGGTAGCTGTTCTAGCCTTCTAGTTGTGTCCTACTCTTCATGACCCAGTTTGGGATTTTCTTAACAGAGATACTGGAGTGGTTTGCCATTTCCTTCTCCAGCTCATTTTTTACAGATGAGGAAACTGAGGCAAACAAGGTTAAGTGACTTGTCCAGGGTCACACAGCTAGTGTGAGCACCAGATCTGAACTTAGGGAGAGGAGTCTTTCTGACTCCATGCCTGCCTCTTTATCCACTGTGCCACCTAGCTGCCCAGGTAGCTCTTCATACAGTAATAATAATGACTGACATTAAGATAGCACTTTAAAGTTTGTAAAATACATATATTATCTCATTTGACCCCCACAACAACTTTGTGAGATAGATGTTGTAGGTGTTATTATCTCCATTTTACAGATAAGGCAACTGAGGCTTATGGGAAGTAAATGGCTCTTACAGTCATGTAGTTGTTAAGTGTCAGAAGCAGGATTTGAATTTAGGTCTTTCTGACTCTAAATATAATGCTTGGTTAAATAGCAGATAACTGCCTGCTCTTTGAAAACAGCCTGGAGGGAAAGAGGTCAATCTCTCCCATTTTCAGAATCGCCTTATTAGCCTAATTATGTCCAATTAACTTAGCTGGAGGCAGCGTGTGGTACAGTGGAAATAGTAGACCTGAATTCAAATTCTGGGTTCAGATCTTGCCTAGAAGTGCCATTCAGTTCATCTGAGCCAGTTTCCTCATTTGCAAAATGGAGGTAGTGGTACCTGAAAAGCCTTCCACGCAAGACTGACTCAGGGCTCATATGAAGTAAAGAAGTACTATATAAATATAAATTATTATTACTACTAGAGTACCCATTCCTTCACAGTCTGCCCACATTAAATATCATCAATTTCTTTGCTATTTTTGCTAATTTGGCAAGCAAGAGATTGTATCTCTCTCATTTTACATGTAAGGAAACTGAAGCCCAAAGAGACAAAGTGATTGAGCAATGGTTACACAGTTACAAAGTAACAGAGATGGAACTGGAACCCAGGTCTTCAGATTCAAATCCTTTGCTCTGGTCATTGTCCCATACTTCTTTGGCTCTACTCCATACCATGGGCCCAGACTGTACCTTTTGCTCCCACTAGCCATATGGTCAATACTTGCTCTTGGTCCCAAAGTGGCCAAGCACATATTTATCCATCACCATTATAGGCTGCACAATTTAAAGGCTACACCCTGCCGATGATTGGTCACTAGTTTCATCTCACACATGACATGTTAGTCTAACATTGTCAAGTAGGTTTTTTGTTCCCTCTGCCTTAATAGCACGTGCCAAGTTGACGAAGCAGTGGAAAGAATGTTGGCTTTGGGCTCAAAGGAGTTCAAATCCCAGATTTGCCATTTGCTGGCTGTGTGACTTTGGACACGTTACTTAACCTCCTTGTGGCCATGCTTTCTTCATCTGTAAAATGTGGACATTGTACTAGGTAACTTCCAAGGTCCCTTCCGCCTCCAAATCTAGGATAATGCTCTAAGGAGAAAATAGACTCATGACGGTCTACTCATCTCCTTTCAATGAACTTTTCAACTTCCAGTCACTGTAGAAACTCAGGTAAGGAGCTTAAGTCCTAGTAGCCAAGATTTCTTGGGGGATAAGGGAATTTCAAATCCTTTACCTTTTATAAATCTTCCTTCTTGTTTTGCAGTTTTTAGTTGTGTTCCACTCTTCATGACCCCATTTGGGGTTTTCTTGTCAAAGATACTAAAGACTCCAGGCCTGACACTCTATCCACTGCGCCACCTAGCTGCCTCCTTTACCTTTTAAAAATCTTGCTTAGCGCTGATCAAAGTCGGGGGGTTGCTGGTAAATGTTTGATAGTCAGCTCTCTAGAAGACACACACATAAAACTTTTTTTTTTAAGTTTTAAGTTTAATCTTAAGCCACATTTTAAAGTTTAATCTGCCTTATTCATATTTTCTCCATCATTTTGTTAAGTCTAGACAATCAATAGAACAATAAATCAAGCCCTGATTTGGAGCATTTCTCAATTTCCCAGGCGTATATACTCACATCAAAAATTTAACAATTGGCTCCCAATATGAGCTGGCTCTAGCACACCCCTGACAAAGGGTAAGGAAGACTTTAGAATATAGATCTGTCATTGTCACACGGCCTCTGCTACTTTGTCTTGTCATCGAGGCAGTGAGATAGAGTAAAACCCAAAGAAGTCTATTAAAAAAAAAAGTTAAGGGCCTATTCTAATCAGGCCCACTGCAGGCAGCTGCTCTTGTTCCATGTTGTGTTAAGGAAAATCAGTAAAACTGGAGGTGGGAAGGACTAGAGTTTGATTTAATTGCAGGTCTTTACACGTAAAACTCCCAAGAACCTCCTTTCCATGGTTTCCTGGGTATATTCATTCAGCAAACATCGATTGAACTCCTACTGTGTGCCAAAAAAGGATTCAGTACCCATGGCACACAGAGCCATCCAGCACCCAATACCTGTCGTTGGGGCAAGTCGATCAGTACAAACCAAAGCATCATTTTTAAGTAGAGAACTCCCAAGTAACTGCTTCATGTTCCCACTAATTCATTTCACTCTTGCCTGTATCAGAGCCAGGTAGCTGTACGCACTCTGGTTTAGCCAAGCCACATGATGGGTAGTTTCCTTGTATTCCAGGTACAGAGACTCATACTGTTTTGCAGAGGCCCCCTTCTGTTTAGAGAAAAAATAACTTCAGATTTTTTTAAAAAATGGTTGAATCAAAATCTTTTCTTCTGCCTCCATCCCCCATCCTACACCTACAGAAAATTAGCTACGGCAAGATAAAATACTTTCTGATCAGAGTAGAACATGCCAAGGCAATAAATCTTTTCTGTGCTCTATATCCCATGTGTATCTGGGTCATGGAGTCCAACAAGGGTTAAGGTAATTCCTTTCATTTTGTTTTTAGGTTAGAGGGGAATCTTAGAACATAGAATACAGAATGCCAGCTCTGGAAGAGAATTTGGAACATAGAACGTAGAATGTCTGCACTGGAAGGGACCTTAGAACATAGAATGTCAGAGCTGGAAGGAATCTTGGAACATAGAAATCAAAATGTCAGCACTGAAAGGCCATTTCTTTCAACCCTCTCATTACACAAGGTTTGGGGGTGGAGGAGGAGGAAAGGAGAGGAGACCAAGGGAAAGTAACACCGTGAAGCTCAGTATCTTCTTGTTAAACAGGGTACATAGATTTCTAGATTAGTGTAAAATCATTTGTTAATTCCCTAAGACAGCTTTTTTTTGGAGTGGGAAGAAAAAGAGGTTGTATTTCTATGTTTTTATTATTTTGGGTCTCATCCTCAAGGGTTTTGGGATATGAATGAGTCTAATTTTCCGTGGCTTACCGTCTCTGCTGGCTGGCCGTATCTGGAACAGCTAGGTGTTTATTTACTTTTCTTGTTTTATTTTTATTTCAGTTCAACTGCAACTAAGCGCGGAAAGCGTGGGTGAGGTGTATATAAAGAGCACTGAGTCTGGCCAGTATTTGGCTATGGACACCGATGGACTTTTATACGGCTCAGTAAGTATGAGGTTTATGCGGTACCAGACACAGGGAAGTTTTGAGGTTTCCAGAAATCCTGTAGTATTGAGTAATGTAACACAGAAGCAACAATTAGTCTCTGTTTGTTATTTTTCCAATTGGATTCCCACCCCCTACCCTGCTTTATTTTAGGTTTAAAAAAATTGAAGAGCTTGCAGAACTCTCTCAAAACACTGTACTATATTATCATGCACATCTGGAAGAGGAAACATTGATGGAAGCTTTTGTTGGGGTTAACCAGTCACCCTCTTGTGGGGCATGATCCTACTATACAAGCATTTTGGAGGGTTTCATCTTGTCTGTAAGATGGCCATTTCCCTATGCAGTGTACCTTTTAAGCTTTTCTACATGCGTAAATTTCAAGATTCAAGATGAATAGCTATTTTGCTATCGGTCTATAAGCTACACATGGAAAATTGTTATTGATACATTCTATTTTTACATCACCATAATTTCTGAATATATCTCTCCTCTTTCCCTTAAAAAAGCAAGTCATGCCCTGTATCAAAAAAACAAAAAAGAAAAAAGAAAAGTGGGGGCAGGGTAGTGTGGAAGAAAACATTTATTATAATAATAAGAAGAGCTAACATTTTATATATCATCTTATTTGATACAATAAACTTTGAGGCAGGCATTATTATTATTCCCATTTCACAGATGAGGAAACTGAGTCTGAGAAAGCTTAATTGTCTTGTCCATAGTTATATTGTTAATATGCATCGGAGGCAGAATTTGCAACGAGGTTTTCCTAACTCCTCATTCAGAGCTCAATTACTGTCAACAGAGTCTGACAATGTATATAATATTCTATAACCATAGTCTTCCTTTCCCCTACGTGAAAAGAAGAAAGGGGCCTTTTCTTGGCCCTCTTTCAGGGCCAAGTTTCATAATCATTATAATAATGCTATTCAGTTTGGGGATTTTTGTTCTTTCCATTTACATTGTAGCAGTCATTGTGCAGCAATAGTCTTCCTGTTTCTGCTTGCTGCATTCATTCTCTATTAGGCAGCTAGGTAATGTAGTAGAGAGAGTACCTGGCCTGGAGTCAGGATAAACCTGAGTTCAAATCCAGCTTCAGACTCTTACTGGCTCTGTTACTCTCGGGAAAGTCATGTAAACTTTATTTGCCTTAGTTTGTAAAATGGGGATGATAATAGCACCTACCTCTCATGGTTATTGTGAGGATCAAATGAAATAATAATTGTAAAGTGCTTAGCACAGTGCCTGGCACATAGTAGGTGCTATAAAAATGTTAGCTTTCATTGTTATTCTGTATTTTTCAATGTGTATTCTTTAAATTCATTGTTTTGTATGGCACATAGTTCATTACTTTCAAGTACTGCAATTTGTTTAGCCATTCTCTAATCAACCTTGTTCCCAGTTCTTTGCTGTTATGCCAAAAAAACCCAAACCAAACCAAAACAAAAAAACAACCCCCAAACCAAAAAATCCTGTTAAGACTATTTTGGTCTGTGTGAGACCTTTCTTCCTGACTTTGACCTCCTTGGGTGTATTTTCACAGGAGTGGGATCTCTGGATCAAAGGGTATAGACATTTTAGTCACTTCTTAGGCATAATTCCAAATTGCTTTCTAAAATAAGAATTCTACAAAGAGTGCATTAGTGTGCCTGTCTTTCCACAGCACTGCACCCCACCCCAACACTGTCTCCATCTCTTGTCATTTTTGTCAATTTTCTGGATATAACTTCAGAAATGTTTTAATTTACATTTCTCTTATTATTGGTTATTTGAATCAATCTTTCAGATAGCTATATTAGTTTATTCCATGTTTGAGAAATGTTTTTTTTTTCCATATCCTTTGACTGTATTCATGGGGGAATGATGCCTGGTGTTCTATATCTGTATTAATTACTTCTATATTTTGGTTATCTGAGCCTTATTGGAGATATATGATGTGTAAAATCCCCCCTCTCATTCAATAATATCCCTTATTATTCTAGATATGGTAGTCTATTTTAAATGTTTTATCAATACCTTTTTGGTTTTTTTTTAATTAAATATTTATTTTAGCATCATATACATTTTTCCCTGTATCTACTCTCACTTCTCTCCCATTTCCTCTCCTACAGTTTACAGAAAAGCAAAATAATACAATATCAGAGATGGAAGGCTACCTAGTCCAACCCATATCTAAATAAGAAGCCATTCTACAACATACTTCAAAAGTGATCATCCAGCCTTTGATTGAAAATCTCCAATGAGAGAGAATACCTTTTGAGAGAACCCATTCCACTATTGGGTAGCTCTCATGATTAGAAAATGTTGTCCATTGTTTCTAATTCTACCTCTCAAGGCCAAGCAAAGCAAGTCTACTTCTGGAAATATACTAAAGAACAGCTGTCTGCCTTGTACCCAAATCTCCTCACTAGGTTAAACATTCCTAGTTCTTTCAACTAGTCTTCATAGGGAATGATATCAAGGTCTTTCACTATCCTGAATGCCTTCTTTTGGTTATTTTTTCTGGCTTAATAACCTTCTGAAAAAATTGATTGCCAAAACTGAACATGATATTCCAGATGTTATCTAACTGGAACAGAATACATTTGGAGTATGACCTCCCTAGTCTTGGATACCATTTCTAACTTTAAAAAGCCTGAGCTTGCATTAAGGAGCTAGGTGGCATGGCGAATAGAGCCCTGAGCTGGGAAACAGGAAGATTCATCTTTCTGAGTTCAAATCCAACCTCAGATACTTACTAGCTGTGTGACCCTGGGCAAGTTACTTAACCCTGTTTGCCTTGGTTTTCTCATCTATAAAATGAGCTGGAGAAGGAAATAGCAAACCACTGTGGTATCTTTGCCAAGAAAACCCCAAATGGGAAGAATCAAATATGACTGAAATGATTAAATAACAACAAAGATTGCATTGACTTTCTTGATCTCCATATCACATTGTTGTCTTATATTGAAGCTTCCATCTACCAAAACCCCCAGATCTTTTTTAGACAAAGTGCTGTTTGCCTATTCTTCTTCTGTATTACACCTGCAAAGTTGATTTTTTGAACATAAGTATAAGACTTTACATTTATTCCTATTAAATTTTATCTGGTTTAATGCTCTAAGCCAGGGTTCAGCAAAATATGACCCATGGATCAAATCTGATCTGAGCCTGTTTTTGTATGGGTGGGGAGCTAAAATGGTGTTAAATAAAAATAAAGTTTTATTGTATTTAAAACATAAAAAAAGTTCAGCTTGCAGGTTACAAAAAAATAGGCAGCAGGCTGGATTTGGTCCATGGACCACAGTTTGCTAATCTCTTCCCTAAACTATCAAGATCCTTTTTGAAACTTGACTCTTTTATCCAGTGTGTTAATTATCTCTTTTTATTTGGATGTGGCATAAACTTATCAAGCTCAACATATTCAAAAGTAGACTCATCATCTTTCTCCCTAAACCTACTCTTCCTTCCTACTTCCTATTTCTGTTATGGGCAACATTGCTCTTCCAGTGACCCTCATTTGAAATTTTGGATATTCTTAACTCATCTCTCTTACTCTCTTCTCCCTATTCAATCAATTTACCTTTTCAATATCACTCATATCTAAACCCCAGCCTCTTCCCTATCCCAAATTCATACCATAAGCATAAAAGTCAGGTCCTAACCACAGCTTGCCTAGATATTTATAGTAGCCTTCTAGTTGATTTCCTTGTATTTGGTCTCTTCCATCTTTAATCTAGCTATGAAACTCATATTCCTTAAGCACAGATCTGACCATGTCACTCCCCTCCTACTTCAATGGCTCCCTTCTCATGCTTGTTTCTCCTCCAAATAATTTCCTGACTCTTTGAACTTTTCTGCTTCTATCCCAACTGCCTTCTCATTCCAGAGATGCCTCACCCCTATAGCCCCTTGTTGATTGATGAGTTCCTGTATGGAACTTCTGTTTGAGGAAATGCTGAGGCTATCCATGCTCATTTCTCTACTGGCTCCACTCTTGACTCTCCAGACTTTTGTACCTTGCTCCCCTCCTTCCTCCACTTTTCAGATCCCTTTTGTGTGTTGTCTTCCTCTACTAGAGAGTAAGCTCCTTGAGGGTAAGGACTAACTTTCTTTTTGCTAGTCTTTAAGCACTGGGCTTGGCACCTAGTAAGCACTTAATAAATGCCTCTGTCTGTCTGACTATCTATCTATCTATCTATGTATCTATCTATCTATCCTCTTTTTATTATCTGAGATGAAATATAAACCCCATTTTATGGCATTTCAAGCTCTTTACAAACTGTTCCCATCTTACCTTTCCAGTCTTCTTACACCTTACTCCCTTCCACACATCTGTGGTCCAGTCAAACTGACCCACTTGCTGCTCCTTCCACACAATGTTCCATTTCCCACCTCCATGATTTTGCATTGGCTGCCTCCCCAGACCTTGAATGTTCTTCCTCCTCTCCTCTGACTCTTGGAATCCATTGTTTCCTTCAATTTCTAATTTCTACTGAAGCCTTTCCTAATCCTCCCCACCTGCTAGTGCCCTCCCTCCCCAAATTACCTTCTATTCTTTTTGTATATGTTTATGTACATAGGGCTGTCACCTCCATTAGACTATAAGTTCCTTAAGGGTGGAGATGTTTTACTTTTGTCTTTGTATCCCCAGTACTTCAAGCATAGTACTTGGCACACAGCAGGTACTTAGTAAATGCTTATTGATTCATTCAACAAGTTCCTAATCTTCCTAATTATATTATCATCTAAGAAACATTTCTCCATTTTTTCCATAAGAAAAGCACTAGAAGTTCTATCAAATACTTTGCTAAAGTCTAGGTAAATTATATCTACAATATTCTTCTGATTTACCAGTCTAGCAGTCTCACAAAAGGAAGTAAAATGAACGTGGCATGATTCTTCTTGATGAAGCCTTGCTGCTTCTTTGTGACTACTACTTCCTTTTCTAAATGTTCACTCACCATGACTTTAATAATAGATTCTTTCCCATTTCTCAGGAATCAGTCAAGATCATTAAC